CACCTCTTCCTCTTTCTAGATGCTCACCTCTCACCAGATCAAACCGGATGTCCTGACAAACAATGAGTCCACAACACCACATCTAACGCTCATGCTAACATCCGTGCACAAACCCACATGCCCCCTTCATCAGATAACATGCACGCCAACATCTCGGCTCAACACAGCTCAATGAGTTAGCTATTTGCTCATCTAACACATCCGGTTTAATGTACAGTAGCCTCAAGATGTAGATTAGGACATTTCAGCAAATACACTGACAAAATGGGTGTTTACTTTGGGATTTACTTTGAAACAATGTTTACTCAGAAATTGCTAGTGAGCTTTAAAAATCATTTAAAATAAATAGCAAATAACATTGAATTAAATGTTACATTTTGAAGCAGAAAGGCTACTTTAGTATTTTTGTAAAACATACTCCAATAATCTTTGTTTACAACTTTAAAACATACACTGTAATTCACTTATACTGTATATAATATTATAATACTATTAAAACATTCGGCAGTAAATGTTATTGTTTTTTTAAGTCAATTATGCTCACCAAGGCTGCATTTATTTGATCAAAAATACAGTAAAAACTTTAATATTATGAAATATTATTGCAATTTAAAATAACTATTTTCTATTTTAATATATTTTGAAATGTAATTTATTCCTGTGATGTCAAAGCTGAATTTTCCGCATCATTACTCCAGTCTTCAGTGTCACATGATCCTTCAGAAATCTTTCTAATATGCTGATTTGCTGCTCAAGAAACATTTCTTATTATTATCAATGCTGAAAACACTTGTGCTGCTTAATATTTTTTGTGGAAACCATGATACATTTTTTCATGACTCTTTGGTAAACAGAAACAAAATAACATTTATCTGAAATCAAAATATTTTATAATTTATTATAAATGTCTTTATTCTTACTTCTGATCAAATGAATGCATCCTTGCTGAATAAATTTGTTAATTTCTTTTAAATAAATATTACGGAGTAATAGGTATATCAGAAAATCTTACGGAGTAATAAGTATAATCAGAATAGCAGTATTTGACATTAGAAAAACAAAAAAGTTTGAGCAACTTTCCGCTATTTACTCAAGTTTACACGACGAGAAGCTGAAGTTTCTGTCATACCAGTGTTTGCTAATAACATTGACACATGACACCTGAGTAGGGCTGGGTATCGTTCAAAATTTTTCAATATCGATACCGATACCTTGACTTTGATACCGGTTCCTGAACGATACTTTTTTTCGATAATTTTATGAAATCAATTTGAACAAGATTACATTATCTAAAAAAAAAAACTTTGGTTTTATTTTTCAGCTTGTTGATGTTTATACAAACTCAAAGACTCATCTCCTGAGCCACTGCACAAAGGAACAAAATGTAACCAACACAATAAATCAGTGCAAAATAGTTTTAATAAAGCTCAAATAGTCTTCAGTTTACACATCTGTTAGCTACATTTACCCTAGTTAGTGTTGGTTTTAAAATGCATAGCTCAGACAGAATCATGATTTCTATTAATTTTCCACTGATTTACTGATGAGCATTAGCAGCTTCCAGCGCTGTCTGCTTGTGTTCTCTCTTCCATGATCGCTGCTCTGACTCGGAGGTAATAACATTTAATTTCAGCAACATTACATGGCCAAAACACACATTAGATGGCAGGTCCGGATTGACCTATTTTCGTGACGTAGAAAAAGCTAATTTTTGGGCCCCCTTCCCTATTAATATAATAGACCTAATATTACCACCCAAGCAAACAAAAATATTTCTTAATCAGTGGAAACCGATACAGTGTTTTCTATCGGAATAAGCGCTTGCGTTCAGTCAATAAAAATCGAATAGTTCTTAATTTGTTTGAGAACTGAGAAAGACCATACCATATACTCGTCGCCACATAACCACCTCCGGGAGTGCATTATTTCTCTAATAATTTTAACGGCCTGGAGTCTCAACCACACATCAAGACATTGTTCAGATCATTTGTTTCAAAACATTTGACATGTTTCCATCCTGAAATTTTGTGTGGGTTGAACTAATTTTTTTACGCACCTCATCCCAAACCTTCCGTTGCAAATTCCTAAACGTCATTTTAGAGCTGATAACAGAGGACTGCAAACTCACCCAACTATCGACCGGGCAAACTGGGTGACATCAGTTCACTTTTCAGTATGAAACCAAATTTAAAAAGTTTAACAGAGTATCTTTAATGGTTAGCTGCTAGCACACACATTACTACTAATAAAGATGTCATTGAATAGAATACAACAGAAGCTTTAACATGCGTTCATGCCATGTAGCAATTACCGTAATTATTAGATGACAACCTAGACGTTCTACCCTGAGCTGAGTAATCAATAGACAAAACCTTCATTGATAAACTTTTAAAGTTTATTTAGCTGTTTTAGTAGCTACATTAACTTGTATAGTATGTATTTTGTTTATTTTGAGATTAACCTTGCATTATTAAAGTGCCCCTATTATGCCATTTCGACCTTTCATGCAATGTGCAATATAGCTGTCTGTGAATTTAAACTATCTGCAAAGTTATGAAGCCGACGGTGCATGGTAAATACATTTATTGTCTCTCAAAAAAAAGAATCGACTCTTAATCACCTAACCAAGTCATCAGGAATTCGATTTCCACTTCCTTACACTACTAACAATGGACCTTTTTTACCTATAAAATTTCAGCAAAATTGATGTGGTGTGGTCACAGAAAGTTCATTGCCTACTAACTTATAGGCCATTTTCAAATTAAAAGGGGCTAAAAGGGTCATGCTAACTAGCTAAACCTTGACCACGTGATTCCACTAAATAAAAGAACGTTTCAGTATACAGTCCATACTGTGCAGTATTCAGTACACTAGCATTCTGTTCCAAACATTGCCCACAAAGTTCATGCATGATCACTACAGCACACCAACAAGGTGACTGTGAATCAATCCTTGTAAGACTGGAACCTTTAGCTTTTTGGAAAGCAGCCCAGATCCACTAGACTACACCACCTCCATCCCTTTTAAAAAAGACATAGCCGGTTGTTTTCTAAAAGGAGTATCAAAACCAACAGGCTTGAGATCACTAGCACAGAGCACCCCCCAACCTGGCATCAAGCGTGAGAAACTCAGGGATCTCCTGAGGGCAAGAAACTTAACCCAGCAGAGGGGGAGGGAGGGCGAGAGAGAGAATGTGCACTGATGTTCAGCTTTATATATAAATATATGAGTCAATCTTTAGTCTATGGAGCTGGGAGGTGCTCTGCATAAAGACGTGCGACTAAATAAACTGCTGGAGATATGAGTAAGCTTCTCTGTGCTATTAAAGACAAGAGGAAAACTCCCTCACACACACACACACACACACACAAACAGAATGAACGTCTGTCTGCTTGTCTGTTTTTAGATCTAAATCTTGCTTTCCTCTAACTTTGTCCAGATGCCATGGCAGACTGGCCATGAACCATGTGACTTATCACTCCCTCTGCTGACTTCTCCTCTCTGTCTCAGCTTTCCAGCAGTCTTTGTCTCTTGATGAAGATCTCTGGATCTCTTGTTCTCTTCTGCTGTTCGGTGAGTGTTGATAGACCGTGACTAGCCAAGGAAGTGTTTGAGTGTATGTGTGATTTGAGAAGTTACACGTTTCTGAAAATGTCAGAAATATAGCAAAACATCTTCAAAATGTGATGAAAACTGTCAAGAGCTTAAATGAAAATACAAACATGTCAAAATATGTCTTTAGGAATGTAGTAATTATAATTAGCTTAATTTAGGCTCACTTAAAATAAGTTTATGGGAGGTTCTAATAAATTGGTGTGTTTGTGTGTGTGGAATAGGAAAGGAGGCAAGAGGAAATTAAAAAAAGATGAAAAAGGAGAGGATAGCAAAGCAGAGGAGACCAGATGGGATGTGAGAAGACGAGAAAAAATTAGGCAAGAGGTGAGGTGAAGAGAACAACGCTGAGGAACTTGTGAAAACGCACTTACAGTCTGTGAGTCAGAACAGCCGGCATTGTAGTCTACTCTACCAGGATCAGGAAACAGTCCTCCATAAAATGTGCTGAACACATCTGAATATTTGGGTTGAACTGTTCTGGAACAGTGTTGTAAATACAACTTAACCACTGATTTCTAGTCGTGTCCTCTTTTGGAAGACGAAACAAAGTAGTTTTGCTTTCACAACGAAACACACAGCGTCTTCACAACATGGCGGCGGCAGTTGCAGCAACAGTACAGTTACGCCTTATTTCTTTGCGTGAACATTTGGGCGGTGTTATGCAAATCTTCCCACATCGTGACGTAGACGTGAGGCATTTTAGGAGGGAGTGGACCAGTCTTAACTTTTATAAAGAATATCTCTTTGTGTTTGAGACTTTAGTCTTTGCAACTTTAGGGATCTTATCTATTCACGAACAGCTTGTAACACAAATTGAAATCGCATCATATGACCCCTTTAAAAGGATAGTTAGTTCCATTGTATTTTCTCAAAATATATTTTAAATTCCACAGTTCATACAGGTTTGAAACGACACGAGAGCAAGGGGACTTTGTGAATTATGGGCATTCCAATTCCACTCTAAAAGCAAAGGTTCTTTATTGGTCTCTGTGTTTCTATGGTATGTACCTTTAACATCCACGGAACCTTTCCATTTCACAAAAGGTTCTTTATATTGGAAAAAGGTTCTTTAGATTATTGAAATGTTCTTCAAACTAAAAAAAAAGGGTTCTTTTAAGAACTGTTCACTGAGAGGTTCTTTGGGCAACCCAAACGGTTCTTCTATGGCATCACTGCGACCCCATTTTGAGCCTTTATTTTTTAAGAGTACAATTCTGTGTGGACCTGGATTCATTGAAGAGTTTTCATCAGTATCTTATCAGGACATCACAGTAACCAAAATGAACAAAGCACATCAAAACACTCTTCAATCCACTCACATGCAAATAAACCACCAAAAAAAACACCGCAAACACAAACAGCAATGATAGAAAAAGGCCAGTTACCAGAATGTCCATCATGGCTTGGCGGAGGGCAGCCTAGTCTTAAAATCCTCAATGATGTTAAATGCCTGGACACATGCATGTCATCCCCCCGCAGGCCGCAGACCTCTCCTTCACACGCAAACACATATAGCACGGGCCGGAATGCACAGGAACACACAAACAGGGCAACAGTAAGACACACACAGACACACAGATAGGGAGAGAGAACGGTGAGGGAGAAAAAGAAAAACAGACTTTATATTAGTCATATCAAGCAAATGTTCACAATTAAATCTATGACTTTGTGTTTTATGAATTAGGCTAATTTAGTCAGGCTGGCATGTTAAGTTTAATCATCTACTAAAATGAGCATATGGTAGCAGAATGTGAAACGTTAGGTTTTTTTTAATTATTAAGGGAGAGATTAAAATAAAAACATTTTCAACTAAATAAATTTAAGGCAAGTAAACACTCTGGATGGATGGCCAGTCCATCATGGGAATTGTATCATATAAATGAATAAATCACGGAAAAATCACCTTACAAAACACTCAAACTTACAAAAATATTTCACAGTGTGTCCTAACTAAATATGATGCAATAATGCAACACGGTTAGACTTGCATCCCATAGTTCCAAACCCCTCCTCCACATTTACTATTGTGAAATATTATTACAATTTGAAATAATTGTTTTCTATTTGAGTACGTTTTAAAATTGTATTCCTGTGATGCAAAGCTGAATTTTCAGCATCAGTACTCCAGTCTTCAGTGTCACATGATCCTTCAGAAATCACTCTAATATGCTGATTTGCTGCTCAAGAAACATTTCTTATTAATATCAATGTTTAAACAGATGTGCTGCTTTATTTCTGCTGCTACTTCTGTGGAAACTGTATTTTTTTCAGGATTCTTTGGAGAATAGAAAGTTCACAAGAACTTGTTTTAACATTATAAATGTTTTTAACATTTATTCAATTTTGATCAATTTAATGTGTCCTTGCTTAATAAAAGTAATTTCTTAAAGAAAAGAAAATGACCCCAAACTTTTAACCAATACTGTAAATAACTGTATATTAAACATGATTCATTGTGGAGATATTCATGAAACATATTCATTGTGGACAGAGAAAGTACTTGCTGCTGGAATCTCATCTCATTATCTCACAGCTTTCCATAGCTTAATTTGACATACACAAAATAAGGTCTTTGGAGTGTTCCCATATTTCCTGACCAGTGAACTTCCATGATTTTTCAATTACTTTTATGTTTGTGATGACTAGATGAGGAATGCTAAAATCATATTACAGAGACTGCACTCACAAATATTGAAGCAATACAGAACATAATTAGAAATTTTATATATATATATATATATATATATATATATATATATATATATATATATATATATATATAATGACAGAATACATTTCCATGACTTTTTAATGATTCTATTCATTTCCATGACTTTTCCAGGACTGGAAATTACACTTAAAAAAAATTCCCTGGTATTTCCAGATTTTCCAGGACCATGGGAATGCTGGGAATGAAGTACAGTCTGTTCAGTAGGTTGTATTTCAATGTCATAGGTCACATCTGATTTTCACAACCAATGTTTTCTGGAGTTTCTATATTTGGAAAGCTTTGGTACAACATATGTTCAATGTTTTGCTGGCTGATCGATTTACATCAATGTACACATTAACCTTTTTTTAATTCACATCGAATCAATTTTGGCACCCAATCCTCTGATCCATACTGTACAGAAAATATCATACAAATGACATGAAATCAAATCTACTCTGCTACATCAAAGTCTAGTACGTCGAATACATTTTGAGAACTTAACCAATATCGAGCATTACTAAAGCACCATGCATCACTTGTCTAAAATGTCAAATAAAGATCTAAGATTCAGCCACAAATCATGATTAAATCCAGATGTTAAACCCCAGATGTTCAGCCAGCTACCACAATTCTGTGCCACCATCAGATACACATAGATGTGAGCTAAAAGGTCAATCAGTCCATGACCCAATGAGCAACTGGCATATGATCTTGAATATGACAGAACATTGTAGTTTTATTAATATTTATATTTAATTAATATTCATGTTACTATTAATGCCTGTAATAGTGCTTCTACAAAAACTACTGCTAATACCATTATAAGGAGGACAAATATAATGTTACTTCCCCCATATTCTAGTTAAAAACAATTAACTTTTAATCTCACTATAGATCAGGTAGACGGATACTTACATGACTGCAGGTTTTGTGGGGTAGATAAATATCTCTGGACTGTCAACTAACGTCTACTAGATCATCTGGAGAGGGGTTTGTGACTACATAGGGAACTAAAGGCACTGTTGAGTCTGCTATGGCCAAAATCTCCTACTTCCCTTTTGACTCTGTGAAGGAGAGAGGAGGAAGGGGAGCTACACATAAAAAGAGGAAACGGTCAACAGAAGACTGGGGAAGAAAAGCGGACATTGGCGAGGACATTCGTAAGAAAAAAGCAGAGATGGAAGGCAAAAACATGAGTGCTCAAAGTAGGAGGCAGTGGTCTCTGTTAGCCAGCCTCTCTACGGACACAATGTGATATTTCAGTGATGCATTATGAAATGGCCTTTGGAAACTTGAAAAATGGCATAACCAAACTGGTTTTCAGTAGTATTCTGTCATCATTTATGTTCCAAACCTGTATGATATTCTTTCCTCTGTGGAACATAAAAAATATATATTTTGAAGACTGTGCTGGTTGCTCTTTTCCATGCATTTACATAGAATGGAGAATAGAGCTTTCAAGTTTCAAAAACAACTCAAATGCACCATAAACATTTAAATCAAAAGTGGTTCTTACGACTCCACTCGTGAATCTATTGTATGAAGACATGCACTTGAATAGTGAGAGGAACAGACTCAAGTTATCATTATTCAAGATAATTAACATTTTAATCTTCCCACAGCTGTTCATTTGAGAATCACTGCTACCAAATCACCAAGTCAGTGAGCTGAATTCTAAAACAGAATCTGTCAATTTAATAAATGAATCATTCAGACTGATTTTGTGAACATTCAACTGATTTACTGAAATGATTCTACTCAAATTTATGGTTTGTTCAGGAATCAGATGCATGAAAAAAAGAAAAGAGTGGGATTTTAAAGGGGTCATATGATGCTGCTAAAAATAACATTATTTTGTGTATTTGGTGTAATGAAATGTTTATGCGGTTTAAAGTAAAAAAAACACATTATTTTCCACATACTGTACATTATTGTTTCTCCTCTATGCCCCGCCTTTTTGAAATGCGTCGATTCTTACAAAGCTCATTGGTCTGAAAAGCGAGGTGTGCTGTGATTGGCCAGCTATCCAGTGCATTGTGATTGGCCGAATACCTCAAGCGTGTGACGGAAATGTTATGCCCCTTACCATACTGTGATGGCGTGTCCCGGCCGGAGCGACAAGACAAAAACATTAAAACCCATTACAAACGAGGCATTTGTTGCAACCAGTGGGCACATAATTACTGATTATAATGACTTATACTTTCTTTTTACGCGTTGCGTTGCATCGTGCCGCACAAACATAAAACCCTGTCTGCATTTGTGATCAAAGAAATGACAAACAACAAGTGCTACTCTACACTGCCCAAAACTC